GCCCGTGGGGTTTTCTCCCCACACCAACATGGTGATTAGAGCACTAGCCCAGCACTGGAGCTCATTTTTCCCCCCAGGGTTTTCTTTAGCCTAATCGTCTTCTCTAACACAACCTGGCAACTTTTGATCTACCCTGTAGGGGAAATCCCTGAACTCTCTGCGCACTCTCTTCATCCTTGTTCTTCAGGCAAAAAAAAAAACCATAATGAAGAGGCCTATGGGAACGCGTGGGCTGCGTTCAGCGCAGTCTGGCTGGGGTTGCTCGGTGGCGTACAGCGGTGTTAGGCACCGCTCCGGCCCCGAGAGCAGCGAGGCTGCAACGAAGCAGGGTCCTGATGAGGGAGCCTTCGCCTTCTACTTAGAGGGGACAAGGCCCCTTCCAAGCTGCGGGAGATTCGCTGTGCAGCAGGTGCTCTACCAGCTTCGCTCTCCCAAATTCCCCTGCATGAAAAATGTTGCTTATTTGCGTTCTGGTATTGCTTTCCCGGGGTTAAATGCTCTCCCTCCTGCAGGTCTGCGTTTTTCTGCTTTTGGTGCAATCCCGGCCTGCCCTCTGCTGGTAAAATCCCAAAGCTAAGGAGGAGAAATCCTAAACCAGGGTCAGCATTTGGTTAAAAACTTGCCAATCGTGTTGAAAAATGGATGGTCTTTTATGGTGACCATCAGCGACTGAGATACCACTCAGACACTCGGTAGCAGAGCGGCTTGGGAGGCCCCTGGGTGAGGGGTCTCACACCAGTGTCATCGATGGGGATGGACTGGCGAGATGAAGGCTTTGAGAGACGTAACCTTTCCTCCAGGCACTGCTGAAGGTCTTGAGAGGGTCAGCTGGGAGGATCTCGGGCGCCACTGGTCACCAGGAGCAGCTGCACTCATGTGTTGAGGGTACCAAGAGCAGTGGGGTCCCTGGGGCAGTTTTGGGCCCTCATGGGCAGAGGATACCCCCAGCCCGTCAGTTTGTGTTGGGAGTGAAAAGGACCAAGGAGGACACAGGACTGTAGTTGTCTGCGTGGTGTCCCCTGGGAGGGGACACAAATGTCAATAAATATGTTTCAAATAAAATCCATTCTCAGCGTAGCCACAGCGGCTGCTTGCAGCCCAAGGGGTTTTATGTGGAAACACATTCTTCAAGCTCTGCTGTGTTTTGACTTTAGCTGTCAGAGCAGGAGCCACTCCGAACTCCTTCCACAGCAAGACACTTGTCTCAGACCAGCGTTTCCCAGCTGAGGAGATGCTGGGCTGCAGAGGACCAAGCTGCGAAACAGCAGCAGGCGCCAGGCGCGATCCCACCGGTGCGTACCAGTGCTGCCTCCCAGCACCACCAGCTGTTGGGAGGAAGATGATGAGCTCAGGAGGAGGACGATTTGTGTCTTTAGAAAACAACCTGGACTGAAAATATTGCAAAAATTACAATTTACTTTGCTAGTGTTACATTTTATTCTGCTACTCTCGGCTATTCCACTGTAATCAAGGGATAGGTATCATATTGCATTTTTATGATAACATCGTATCCCACTCTTAAAGCAAATTAAAGGCAACGTAATGTCGAATCTTAAAGTCACAGCAGACCAGCTACCAGGCTCTGTAGACATAGTCCCCTTAACAGGACATCCATGCTGCCTGAAGGTCACCGATGAATCACTGAATCCTGCGCTGCTGTGTCCTCACGCTCTGCTGAAGATGCTGGAAATAGATAATTACGAGTCTCCCTGCAGCTGAATCTCGTAAGCGTGAAGCTGTGGGACAGTGGAGCGGGGTGAATCCCTCTCTTGTTCCAGCGGCTTTCTTCTGCATTCGGAGTTGTTCAACCCTCGCCCTGGGAAGAGGGCCTGACAGCTCGCTTCCATGGGGAGATGTCGAAGACCTTTGGTCCTGCTCCAGGGTGGCCCATGATGTGAGCTGGCGCAGCGCCGGGGCTGCCACAGGAATTTGCACTTATTTGAGCAAAAATTATGCTCTGAAGAGGAGGAGGCTGTGGGAACGGCTCCAGCTATGGCCGCTCCTCATCTCACCACCAGCGACACCTCCAAAACCATAGCTTGGAGCGGTGAGAAAAATTATCCCA